TAAAGTATTGATCTGGTACAATACTTGTTTATCTTTTTTTACTTTTAGTTTAATTTTGATTGTTGTTTATCATCTTTACCTGCAGTCATCACATATGAAATGTTATGATGCTCTAATTAAGAAGTTATTTAAGAAACAAGATGAAAATGATGAACCTCTTTTAGATGTCACTGAATCACATCTAACTGTTGATCAACAAAAGAGAGAAATTGTACCAAGTTCTACTGATGTTAGACGCTGTGATAGTCGTGAATCAGTTGTTGATTTGTTTTAATCATTATAGTCTTTAACTGTAATTAATCTAATCTTTATTATTTTTAGAATTTTTTGTTTACAATCTCATGAAGTATTAATGATAAAATTACTATTTTTGTTGTTTTTGTTTAAAAATTGCCTTTGATTTTTGTTTTTTCATTAAAATACTTTTTAGTCATTTAGTTAGTGAGTTTACTACAAAAAATAAAAAGTCATTGTACAAGTACACTATAGTACTGTGCAGGTACATAAATGAACAACTTTAATTCTTAGTATGCACTAGTAGTATACATGGAGTCATGAACACAGATTAGTAGTGCAAGTACAAAATATCAAAATTCTAAAAACATTTTAATTTATTATAAAAGTGCATGCACGACTGTATGTGTACATGTCTTCCTAGAACTTGTGTAGGTTATTGGTAGCTATAGAAAGGATTAGTTTGTCATGGGTATATACTTCCATACAGGGTTTCACACAAAGTATGCTAAGTGAGCTAAACAGCATGAGCTTCATGAGCTGACAAGCACTACAATACAGTACATGGCATTTGAAGCAACTTTAAAAATTTATTAAAAAATGAATTTTGATTGGAATCTTTCAAAGTTTCTACTAGACTAAATTTCTACACAACATAAATGCATGTAGATATATATGTATCAGAAAAAATATAAAAATGAAGAATTCTCTCCTTTTCATTTTTGCATTGCTAATGCATGAGTGGATATATAGAGGAGATATGGAATACATACGTGTACAGACATACATACAAACAAATTCTATTCATCTTAGTGGGCTTTGTTCAATGAAAAAGTGAATGTCTAACTATATGACAACTATATTTCCTGTTCCATATTTGGAGGATGATGAGTAGCTTGTACATTAGTACACTATTCATTACAATACATGAGAAACTGAGTTGAGCCTGTGACTGCCAAAAAGTGTCTAAATTAAGAATTTAATAATGCATTAACATCCACTAGTGAATCTATAATAAGTACAGGTTATACCATCAGGTGAGGTATCTATGGCTTTTATCAGGTTAATAAGTAAATTTCTAGGCTACTTATGGGCCACTTATCAACCTCCAACTTCCCTGGAATTTACTTATTGACCTCCCAGTGGTAATCAAGTTATTTATGAACCTAAAATCAAGCAATTTGATTAATCAATTAGAACTATATACATACATGGGAGAAATACAGTCAAGTGGGGCCTGACCCTACCGACTAGTATAGTAGAAGGAACACTACTAACTAATACTAATCTAATTATATGTGTCACTCACTGCCATACATTACTTTAAGTGTAAACAATACCTTCCAAGTGTCCTTTCACACTGAGTGAATGTACTATTCAGTACAGACAGTAGCTATGTCTCTCCTGTTAGTGGTTGTTCTCTTATTCTTCAGTAGCTCCTGCAGTGTCTCCTCTGGTCAGTACTATGTGTCTGATGACTGCAGTTCAGTTACTCAGTCACCTTGTAATCCTTTATCAGTGTATGCTGGGGATATGTCTCAATACAATAACACCATCTTCTACTTCATTGGAACTAGTGTCATTAACTTTAATGTCACAATGGACTCAGTACAGAATATAACTCTACATGGACTGGACCAGTATCCTACTATTAACTGCTCGTCTTGGTCTATGATCAGTATCAGTACAAGTAGTCATGTCAGTTTCAGTAACTTATCAGTCCAACTATGTGTCATATATTTTGAATATTCAAGTAATATTAAAATTACTGGCTCTATTTTTAAAAGCCCAAACTATTTGAGGCTCCTCAATGTTTTTGACAGTAAGATAACATCTTCAGTTTTTGATAATGTAAATCTAACTATTGAATATAATTCACCTCCAGTGTGTTACAATGAATTACACCATTACTCATTAACACTGACTAATATTTATATTGTGACTAATAACGATTTATATTTCAATATGTACCATGGTACCTCATACAATATATCAGTTAATCTTGATAATGTCAATATCATCAGATCATCAAATTATGGTATTGATTGTTATTTCAGTGAGTCTCTTTTTTCTCTAAATATTACCAATTCATCAGTATCTTATTCAATGGATGGATTTTTTTCTAGATATGACATACATTCACAGCAATCAAAAAATTGTAATATCAAAGGTGTTGAATCACAATCAACTATTTTAATTGAAGACTCCCAATTTCACAACAATGGTAATGGATTATATTTTGATATAAAAAGAGACTACTATCAATTAAGTAAATATCATAATATTACTATTACTGTAAAGTCGTGTCTAATATATGACAATGGCTATGGTTTATTGATTGTTGGATTTTTCTCAATATCATCTCATATCAGTGTTATAGAAACCGAACTTGTTGGAAACTGGAGAAATTTGATATTAGAATGTCTTTCTATCATTCTTAGTAACATTACTGTTACTAATAGTTTATTAACAGGACTAGTGATTAAATCCTCTGTAGTAACTGTAGAAAATAGATTAGTATTTAAGAATAATACTGGAGTAGTTGGAGGAGGAATGGCAATAACTGATTCATCTGTTGTGGCCCTATCACCATCAGCTCACTTGGAGTTTATTGATAATCATGCAACTTATAAAGGAGGAGGAATGTATATTGATGACATAACTGAGAGTATTTATTACTTTTATTCAATTTTCTATATTTTAACAACTCTTAACACATTTAATTTTAAAGGCAATACTGCTGGAGTAGCTGGAAATGATATATATGGAGTTGATTACGAATTGGAAAATACTGTTTCCTTAAAATTAGCAAATCTTTCAACATCAAGTGATGCACGTGCATTTGCTTTTTGTGATCCTGACAGTAATGAAACCACACCAATATGGTATAATGAAGATGAGCAACAAAGTGTTTTTCCAGGTCAACCACTGAAATATAATGTTGCTTTATTTGGACGTACTTTTGATACAAATTCATATAGTCTTACTGATGGTAGATTAACAATAGAAATTAATGGAATATTGGTGATAGACAAATACATTGATAATTGTTCACTGATTGAGTACACACCAAAATATATCGACCATTATGGAGAACATAATGTTACACTCAACGTCACTACCAATTCATTTTATGACCTTGAAAAGCCATTGAGTATTTTATTTATTCTTAGTGAGTGTCCTATTGGTTTCAGTGTAAACAGTTCAGGTGTTTGTGATTGCAGTGTTTCAAGAGAGAATGTCACATGTGATATAAATACCCTACACATTACACACAATGGTCTACTGTGGATTGGAACATATCATACCAGTACACCTTTCAATGCTAATGAAACCAATCCTAATGCATGCATTATCGATGAGGACTGTCTCCTCTATTGTTCTCCTAATCCTGTTACCTTTCAGTTCAATCACACTCATACTCAATGTGTGGATAATAGAGGACACAGAATGTGTGGATCATGTACAGAGGGATACAGTCTACTAATGGGATCAAACAAGTGTGGACAGTGTCATAATAATTACACGATGATAGCTTGGATTGCTCTGTTTGCAGTGATGGGTGTACTACTTGTGGTTCTACTCATTGCTCTCAATTTAACAGTATCAGTGGGTACACTCAATGGTCTATTGTTCTATGCTAACATTGTCAAGTTATATGAGCCAGTCTTTTCAAGGAAAGGAGCATTACCAGTCTTGAGTCAAGTCATATCATGGATTAACTTGGACTTTGGCATTGAAGTATGTTTTTACAATGGTATGGACAGTTATGCTAAACAATGGCTCCAGTTTGCTTTCCCTCTCTATCTGTGGATCATTATCATTATCATCATACAATTGTGTAAGAGATATGGTAAGATATCAAGACTGATGGGGTCTCATGCTGTTCCTGTTCTATCTACACTCTTCCTTCTCTCATATACTAAACTAGTCCGTACTATTGTTATTGTACTACACAAGCGTGAGGTAACTCTTCACTGTAGAAATGAGTCAGTAAGATCAGTTAGTTTATGGTATGAGGATCCTACTGTTGAATATGCTAAAGGGAAGCATGCTGGACTATTTGGATTTGCCCTATTGGTGACTGTCTTCTTTGTCATACCATACACACTGTTCCTTTTACTTAATCCTTTTTATGAGAAGTATCTTTCAAATTTCAAACTTCTAAAGAAATTTTGGAATCATTTCAAGCCTATTATTGATGCTTATAGTGGTCCAATGAAAGATGAGTATCGGTTCTGGCCAGGTCTACTGCTAGTGGCTAGGGTACCAGTATTATTATCAGTTACTTTAGTTGACAGTTTCATTCAGTCACAGCACTTCCTATTGTCAATGCTATTGACAGTGTTGGTTATTGTGCTATCATTGAGTCATTGTTTTGGTGGAGTATACAAGAAAAGAATGAACAATGTACTTGAAGTTTGGTTCTTGTTTAACTTATGCATCATGGTTGGCCTATCTGGAGCCATTAATGAAGACAGTAAAGTATTGATCTGGTACAATACTTGTTTATCTGTTTTTATTTTTAGTTTTATTTTGATTGTTGTTTATCATCTTTACCTGCAGTTATCACATATGAAATGTTATGATGCTCTAATTAAGAAGTTATTCAAGAAACAAGATGAAGATGATGATTGTCAAAATGTAAGCAAATCACATCTAACTGTTGATCAACAAATGAGAGAAATTGTACCAAGTTCTACTAATGTTAGACTCAGAAATAATCATGAATCAGTTGTTGAGTTGTTTTATTCATAATCTTTAGTAATTTTTACTGTCACATTTATTAAATATCTTAGCTATTTTAGAAGCAATATATAACTATAATTAATCTATTTTTCATTACTTTTTAGAATGTTCAGTTTATAGTCTCATACAGTGTGTGCATAGAATTGTAATAATAATAAAATTATTATTATTAATTATTGTCATTATTGTTACTTTACCTTTTGTTTTTAAATTAATTTCTTTTTAACACTGCTACAAAAAATAAGTCAATGTACATGTATGCTGCAAATACTTACTATAATACCACAGTTGTTGCTTTTGGAGGAGCTTTTAAAATGGATAAAAATTTTGAAATGATGTTTTTCAGCTGTTGCAATGCATGTCCAGTTAATAGTGACTTCATGAATATCATTAATTGCTATTAGTTAGAGTGTTTTCTCTCTCCTTCTCTCTCCTCACCTGTTGTACTGATAGTTCTGATATATTTGACATTATCTTCTTTGTCAGTTCCCTCAGTTTGGACTGATAGTGATTCCCTTTTGTTCCAACCTGGAATGTAGTCTCTTTCCTTGCTTCTACTTTCTTTTGTGTCCTGCCTAGCAACCTGTGGATCTGTTCCATTAGCAGCTCTTTCTCTAGCAGTTGATGTTTACGCTCAGATAGTTGATCCTAAAATAAATACATTAGAATATGATATTAAATGTTTATGTACTCTAGTAGATACATATTGATCTCCTTATGCTGCATAGAAAGTTTGAGCTGATTCCGACTTTAATTTTTAAAGTTACGGCCATTTTAAGAATATGCCAAATTCTGAAAAACACCCTGTACTATAGCCCATGGTTTTTCCAAAAAATGGCTCTGAAATCACCCCAAACTTTTATTACATTTTCTGATACATATTGATGTCCTTATGCTGTGTAGAAAGTTTGAGCTGATTCCGACTTTAATTTTTAAAGTTACAGCCATTTTAAGAATATGCCAAAAATCTGAAAAATACCCAAGGCTATAGCCCATGGTTTATTTCAAAAAATGGCTCCGAAATCACCCCAAATTTTTATTACATTTTTTGATACATATTGATGTTTTTATGCTGCGTAGAAAGTCTGAGCTGATTCTGACTTTAATTTTTAAAGTTATGGCCATTTTAATTAAATGCCAAAAATCTGAAAAATACCCAAGGCTATAGCCCATGGTTTATTTCAAAAAATGGCTCCGAAATCACCCCAAATTTTTATTACATTTTTTGATACATATTGATGTTTTTATGCTGCGTAGAAAGTCTGAGCTGATTCTGACTTTAATTTTTAAAGTTATGGCCATTTTAATTAAATGCCAAAAATCTGAAAAATACCCAAGGCTATAGCCCATGGTTTTTTCCAAAAAATGGCTCCAAAATCACCCCAAATTTTTATTACATTTTCTGATACATATTGATGTCTTTATGCTGTGTAGAAAGTTTGAGCTGATTCTGACTTCAATTTTTCTAGTTATGGCCATTTTAAAAATTGTCCAATTTTTGAAAAAAATCACTGTACTATAGCCCATAGTTTTTTCCTGAAAAAAACTGACTAAAAATTTTCAAGTTACAACCTTTTTGAAGCATAAATTAAAAGGAACATTGTTAATGTACATCGTGTACTATAAGCATACTTCAGTACATGTACATGTACTACCTGTAGTTTCTGTACTCTTTCTCTTAGTTCCTTACAGGACAGATCCTTTCCTGCTAATAGTCTAACCCTCTCTGGCTTCCTGGCATCACACATCTCCTCCTCCAAACACTTCAATGACTCCTTCGTTGATAGTAACTGCAAGAAATAATGAAATAATAATACATGAATAAAAGCAATACAAAATAAAATATAGCATCCATGTACATGTACATAGCTATAATTTTGTAAATTATAATTAATAGAATTTTAGTAATTGACAATGGCATGTGCATAATGGCATATTTTTTATTTGGGACACTCACTCCCAAAAATTACATCTAGAGCAACATGTACATACATGGCATTATGTTAATCAAATACATGTATGTATATAGATTCATTTACATGTAGGTGCATGTACAAGTAGTGTACATGCATGCATGCATCGCACATCTTGATCAATTTGATCATCTTGATCAATTTGATCATCTTGATCAATTTAATCATCTTGATCATCTGATTCATCTCACATCTTGATTATCTTGATACAATGCAATTGCATTAAACCATCAAGGTCCAGCATTAACGATGAATGCTATTTACATATTAGATGTATCATGTATATGTACATATACATGTATTATTACCATGTTCTGGTGTAGCATTAGTTCTCTCTCTAGTTCTTCTTTCTCTGGTAACTGATCACAATTAATCTTAATCTCTCTCTGGAGTCTAGCAAGCATTGATAAATCATTTTTAATAATAAACTTGTAGTACAAATTTGTCAGATTTGTACAAGTACAAATCTGAAAATTCTATGAAAAATTTTAATTATGCATGCACTGCTGCACTTGTATCCTGTACATGTCTTTCTAATTTGTTCAAGTACATGCACTAGTTACATAAGAAACATTCAATCCCCACCTGTTCACATAAACCCCCACATTCATCTGTAATGAAGCAAAGCAGATACAATCACAATGTCATTCACTAACTAGCTCTCCTTCTCCTATAATTTTTGTAATTTAAGGCATAACCATTCTTTAATGATTATTATTTATAATTTAGTTATCCAAAGTGCCCAAAAATGCTGCGATAGTACATGATGTATCTACTGAAATACTTTGTCAAAAATGCAATGAGACAATTCATTTTCTATAATTTTTTTCTGATACACAATAATGTTCTTGTTTTGTTCTCCTGTAATGTAACATGCACACTAGATCTAGTACAGGCACATAAAATAAACAAATTCTATGTACTCATGAAGCCATGAACACAGATTTGTACTAAAAGTACAAAATATAAAAATTTTAAGAAAATTTAAAAGAGTATACACGACTGGATTATCGCCCTATAATTCCAATTTGTTCAAGTACAAGTACAAATTAATCCCCACCTGTTCACATACCACCACATTCATCTGTAATGAAACAAAGCAGATACAATCACAATGTCATTCACTAACTAACTCTCCATCTCTCCCCCTCTCTCTCACCTATATTGTTTTCTTTAACCATTATTAGGTGAACCACATTATACATAAATACACACATATACACAGTAATATTGAGGTAATGCACACTCATGAGTTATGTCAATTAATCCACCTCTGGAGGTGAAGTGAGACTGATGCGCATTGATGCCCATTAATTTGAAACCACTCTAGTGTAAACACAATTAATGCGCATCAATGCACATTACTTGTGCCAGTGTGAAAAGGCCTTTAATGAATTAGTATAGATAATTATAAATACTATCTATAAAAAAGTAAACTAAAAGAATGACTTGTAGTGTATTGTACTATTAATTAGATTGAATCTAATCATCAGAACTATGCATCAGATTTCCATATTTGGAAAAAAGTAGCCTATGTAAGTCATCACTCACAGCCTGCAGGTATACACTAGTCAGTCAGTACAGACAGTAGCTATGTCTCTCCTGTTAGTGGTTGTTCTCTTATTCTTCATTAGCTCCTGCAGTGTCTCCTCTGGTCAGTATTATGTGTCTGATGACTGCAGTTCAGTTACACAGTCACCTTGTAATCCTTTATCAGTGTATGCTGGGGATATGTCTCAATACAATAACACCATCTTCTACTTCATTGGAACTAGTGTCATTAACTTTAATGTCACAATGGACTCAGTACAGAATATAACTCTATATGGGCTGGACCAATCTCCTACTTTTCATTGCTCATATGTGTTTATAGCAATCAATACCAGCAGTCATGTCAGTTTCAGTAACATATCATTCCAACAATGCAACATAGATTTTCAATTTTCAAGTAACATCACAATTACTGGTTCTACTTTTAAAAACTCCATAATTGCCAGCCTCCTTAATGTTTTTGATAGCATAATAACATCTTCAGCTTTTGATAACGTTACTGAAGCTCTACTTATATACTATTATCCACCTCCAGTGTGTTACAATGAATTACACCATTACTCATTAACACTGACTAATGTTACAGCGACTAATGGCATTATAGGGTTTCGTATGTTCATGTATCATGGTGCCTCATATAATGTATCAGTTACCCTTGATAATGTGAATATCATCAATTCCAATTATGGTATTTCTCATTATTTTACTGAATCTCTTTTTTCTCTGCATATTACTAATCTATCAGT